ACCCCTTTTAAATCCCTGAAGATGGGTGCTGTCCATCCAAGAGCCTGCCCTGTATTTCCAAACCACAGATGTCACTCCTCCCAGGGCCCTGGAGCGCTGTCACCCTGCAGTGAGGTCACACCAAGAGTAAAAACAGGAAAAGTAAAGTTAAAAAAAAAAAAAAAAGAAAAAGGAAGAATCAGCTGCTTCTGTGAGTGCTCAATATTGGGATTACACAGACTGGGTTAATGGGATTTGGCACCTGGCTGGTGGTGATTCATAGAATCACAGAATAGCTGGGGTTGGAAGGGACCTCAGGGTCATCCAGAGCAGGTGGCACAGGAACACATCCAGGTGGGTGTGGGATGTCTCCAGAGAGGGAGACTCCACACCCTCCCTGGGCAGCTGTCCCAGGCTCTGCCACCTCCATGGAAAGGTTTTTCCTCATGTTGAGGTGGAACTCCTTGTGTTTTAGTTTATGGCCATTGCTCCTTATCCTGTCACTGGGCACCACTGGAAAGAGTCTGGCACCATCCTCTTAGCACCTCTTGGAGATATTTGATAGACTCACAGACTGGTTTGGGTGGGAAGGAACTTTAAAGACCATCTCATTCCACCCCCTGCCATGGGCAGGGACACCTCCTGCTGTCCCAGGTTGCTCCAAGCCCCATCCAACCTGGCCTTGAACAATTCCAGGGATGGGGCAGCTGCAGCTTCTCTGGGTAACCTGTGCCAGGGCCTATTTATTATTTTCCAGTGCATGTTTACATGAGATTCCTTCATTTTTCTCTTCTCCACACTAACCAGGCCCAGCTCCCTCAGTTTATCCTCCTCAGAGAGATGCTCCAGACCCCTCATCATCTTTGTGGCCTCTGCTGGACCCTCTCCTTATCTTGAACTGTGGAGACCAGAACTGGACACAGCATTCCAGATGTGGCTTCACTAGGGCCAAGTAGAGGGGTGGGATCACCTGCCTCAACCTGCTGGCCCCACTCATCCCAATATCCCCAGGATTGCCCCTCCCAGTCCCAAGGACACACTTGTAATGTTAACAGTTTAACAGTCAAACTGGCTCAACAATTTAATGGCTTGGAATAGGTTAACAGGCTCCATGAAACCCATCCATCCCTCTGCCACGGGATCAGGGCTGTGGTGTCACAGCTGTGACCGAGGGACACTCCTGCTCCGAGACTGTCGGGCTCATCCTTCCTGGAGCCAGGGTCCCAAAGCCAGGGAGTGCCTGGGAGCACAGCTGGATGAACATCTGAAATACCTGAAGCATCACTTTGCTCTGCCTGGTCTCCTGCTGTCAGTCTCAGCAGGGGATCCCAGTGGAGGGGAGGAGTTCAGTCCTTCCCTCCTTTAAAGCTGCCATCCCAGCACTGGGAATGCTGAGGCTGCAGCTGCTTAGTGGAAGCAGCACTTCCAGCACTCACAGGCAGCTTCCTACCTGCAATAAGAGGGAGAAAAAGGTCCCTCCAGGAATTTAAACCCCTGACACTCTCTCAAAGCAATTCTGGAGTTTATCTGAGAGCAGTGACTGTGCAGGTCTCACCCAGCACTCTTCTGGAGCAGCTGCCTCAAGTGAAGGCTCAGAAAAGCTGGGGCTAATTGAGAACTTCATTCCTAACTCCCATTCCTGCTTTTGTGCCACTGCTTTAGTGGAACTTTCCATCCCTGGGCTTGGGGAAACAGGAAAGGAGGGATTTGTCTTGAAAGGTCAAGGGAGACAGAGCAGAGTTCAGAGTGATGCACATGAGGAGAACTGAAATCACTTGCAATTCTTGCAAAGAAACCACTTTTTAATAGTTTCTCTCTGAGTCAGGCTGAAGACAATATGGCCTAATTAAAGCTTTTTTCCACTCATCTTCCACCTCCCTGCCCCCTTCCTTGCCCTGTCAAAGCGAAAGATGGACCTAAACTCACACCCACATGTGTGAGTTTCCCATGAACAGCAAAACAGCCTCATGCACAGCTCTTTTTATCTGTGTTGAGCAATTTTACACACAAAGGGACTCTGAGCCCAGTGAGCGACTTCCACTGGGCTTTGCACGGGCTGGGACTCACCCCCAGAACTGGAAATGAAAGTGCTGGAACACACAAAGAGTTGTTCCTACAGACAGATTTACATTTAGAGTTCAATTCTTTCTCTTTATCAGGACAAAGGCCCAGCTGGGAAGCACAGAGCATCTCTGCAACACCTCCTGCTCGAGGAACAGGGAACAGAACACCACCACTGCCCCCACCCCAAACTGCTCCCTGAGAGCACCCACCCAGCCCCATCCCAAGCACCAACAACTCCTCCCCAGCTCCTGAGCTGTCCCAAATGACAGGCTGAGGACCACCAAGAAAGGGGAGCACTTCCTCAAACCAGCAGATTAATCAAAGCCAGGTCGGACGGGCCTTGGGGTAACCTGGGACAGTGGAAGGTGTCCCTGCCCATGGCAGGGGGTGGAACTGGATGGTCTTTAAGATCCCTTCCAACCCAAGCTGATCAGAGGGGTGGAGCACCTCTCCTGTGAGGAAAGGCTGAGGGAATTTGGTTTGCTCAGACTGGAGAAAAGAAGGTTTGGGGTGACCTAATTGTGGTCTTCCAGTGCCTGAAGGGAACCCAAAAGAAAGATGGAGAGGGACTTTGGACAAGGGCCAAAGGGAGTCACAGGAGAAAGAGGGAATGGCTTCAAACTGGCAAAGGGCAGGGTTAGGTGGGGTATTGGGAAGAAATCCTTCCCTGTGAGGGTGGGGAGGCCCTGGCACAGGTTGCCCAGAGAAGCTGTGGCTGCCCCAGCCCTGATGGTTTCAAGCTACCTGAAGGTAGAGTTGTAACTGGTAAAAGGCCATTCAGGGAGGCAGCAGTGGAGCTGTGAGATGTGCTATCACAATTCCAGTGGGGAGCTGGCCCTGCCCTCAGCATCAGCAGCCTTCTGAGTCCAGAGAGAGTGAAAAGAGAAAAGCACAGCGATTCACACTAAGCCTTTAACCCAAGCAGCACCTTTAGTCAGCCTTTGGATCTGCAAGTTCAAGCCTCTGGAAGTTTTAGATCCCAGGTTCAATACTGACAAGTTACCTGCCATGGGGATTTTCCCAAAGGGAACACAATCCACAGCAGGTTCAGCTGTGGCCTGCAGGTCTTGGCTCCCATCAAACACACTATCAGTTTGCTGCAGCCTAAACCAGCCTATGGCGTAGATGAAAGTATTAAACAGCACTGGCCACATCCTCCTTGCTACAGGAAAATGACTTTTATATTTGTTAAAACAAACTTAAAAAGAGGAAACTGAGACTTCAGGGTGCTTTTCCAGTCCTCACATCCCAGTTCCATCCATTGCTGTCTATCCCTGAGCCGGGAAACTGGGCTCAAAGAAACAGCTTCATGGCATCTCGCAAGTCTGTTGGAATGATTTCATGTTCACGCCACAGTCAGAAATGTAAACTCTTTGCCAACACTAAACACTGTTATTAAGAGGCTTTGGGGACATTAATTAATGTTGTGTTGCTGATGATCCTCCGACGGTCCCAGCTGGGGAAGGAAGGGCAGTGAGGGACAATGGGCACAGCACAGCGACCACACACACCATTGTCTGTGTGTTCGGGAAGGGAAGGACACAGCTGAACATTCCAGAAGAATGGACACTATGCAGATCACATTTTAGGACTCTTCTTCTTGCAGAACCAGACAGTGAGCTGGAGTGGTTGGAATCTGAGCACCTTGTAAAGCCTGGAGAGTGTTCCTGCACAGGTTCCTGAGGGTTCTCAGCTCCCTCCTGACACGCAGTATTTGCTCTAAGCCACAGCCAGTCAAGACATCCAAGGCACGGAAATGTCTCTTCCCACCTTCCCTCTGGATTTTTTACCTCCACATTGGCACTTACCTCAAGATCAACCAAGAGCTGAACAAACAACATTTAAAGTCCCGAGCCAAGCAAGGCAAGGGATCAAATTGAGAGGCTCCCCCAGAGCAACACGACCTCCAACCGACACCTCAGATTTCACCCCTGCTCTGCCCAGACCAGAGGTCCCTACACCACCAGCTCTGGCAGCAGGACTCACGTGCTCCCAGTTAATATCCAAGCACCTGACACAGCATTCAGTATTTTGTCTGTTCTCAGCTTTACTCTCTAACTAGAGCAGCTTGACAAAACACTATGCCGGACAGAGGAGAAAGAAAAAGCAACTCTGTACTCACACACAACTGAATTAAATCCAAAATTTTGTTTCTAGATAAGAGTAGGGATTTTGATGGGGCCAGTTCAGTGCTTTCCTAATGCTCTGTTATGGAAAGGAGAACAAAAACACACCAAATCCCTGCAGAGCTAGGAGAAGTAACTAGTCAAGGAATAATAAAGACAGGAGGGAGTTAGGGGAAAGATAAAGAGTGGTGGGCTTTTTTTCCCTAATCCCACTGACACATTCATTAAGCCCTTAGATTTGTGTGCATGCAACTCACAGATTTGGTAACTTTTATGTTACTTTTACGTAACTTTCCCGCAGGAAACACTTTGTCAAGTGAACACAGAGCTGCATCCTGCACAGTAAAAGCAGCAGAGCCCACACAGGAACCTGGAAGTGTCTCCCAACACCTCGAGGTGTGGGCTGTCCAACCCTACCAGCCATCCTGCAGAACATCAGGGCCTGCTCTGCAGCAAGAGAGAAACCCCCAGGGAAGCAGAAGGTTAACTTTCCTAGAGGGAGGAAAGAGGCCATGGTGGGGAGGGATGGGAGTTCAGCTAAAACCAGCCAGGCAGAGGAAGTTCAGAGTAACTCCTTCGCGCCTCACGGCCACGCCGAAGCAGAAGTGAAAATCAGATCCCATTCTGGAGGGGGATGGACTGCAAAGCAAATCTGCCTCTTCTGGGGAAGAGCCCTGCCGAGAACAACCATGGGAAGAAGGGAGCCACTGCTTGTGGGAGCACACCTGAGGCGCTGGGGGGACAGAGCACACCTCCAAGCCCCTGGTTTTGTTCCCATCACGTGCAGACCTCACGAGCAAGGTCTGGCCCTCACCCGAGGCAGGTGCTCACCTTCCTCTTTGTTGTTGGTGATGTCTTTCAACAGCTCAGTCTTCATGCAGGCGTCTTTCCTTGGCTCTCCCTTACTCAGCAACGCTCGCTAAGGAGGGGGAGACAAAACAGAAACATCAGAGTTTAAGCTCCATGGCCATCCACACAGTTGCATTGAAAAGAAGAGACAATCATGGACACATCCTGTTTACATCACCGGGCAAACCTCCCTCTGCAAAATAAGGCTGCCAGGAAGCTGCCACCAAGGCACAGGTCACAGATAAAACACGGCAGGGCTGACAACCCGAGGAGCAGAGAGACTCTGAGCTGCACCCAGGGCTCAGACCTCCCAGCTCTCGGGTTTGGATGAGCCAGACAGATTCTCTGAGAGCAACGTGCCCGGGAATCCAGCTGAGTCAGTCTGCATGAAAGGCATCTCCAGGAGGTGACTTTTACTCCCCCAAAACTTCTTAGGCTTTGGGTGGGGGGAGGCAGATCTATCAGCCTTCTCTTTAAACCTCATTTATCAACATTTCCAGCCTGTGAGCTTTTGGTTTTGTTTTTTGGGGCTTTTTTTTTGTAGTTCATTCAAATGTACATACAAAATGCAAACCATCAGTCAGCTCCAGCTAACTCCTCATTCACAACACCCATGTTTATTAAAGTTAATCATCTCTATTTTTAATTCTATAGAAAGTGATTTTTCTTTTTTTTCCTCTCCCCCTATTTTTTTTTTTAATTTTCATGTAAAAAAGGGAACACCTGCTCATCTCCTCTGCCTTTCACACGCCCGGAGTCACGTTGTTAGATCAGGTTTGCAGCCTCAATACCTTCGTCTTTATGTTGAAGTGGAGAGATTCAAAAAAGAGCTACCAGAACAAAACAGTAAGAAAAAAAAAAGGTATTTGCAAAAAAAAAAAGAAAAGAAAAAATAAATAAAATAAAATAGAAGAGGTCTTTGCCACAGCCCTGTGTTTAAGGAGACAAGCTGGTCTGGAGGCAAAGATGGTGCCTGCCCTGCAGAGCTGCCGCGTGACGGAGGTCGGGTGAAGGGTTCAGCACACGCTGCCGGCGCCGCGGCACAAGAATAAACCCAGGTCAAGCCAACTGTTGTAGGGCCAGCACAGAGAGCAGATGGTGCCTCAGCCATGCAAATCACAAGGTTTAAAGCACACTGAGCGATAAAGGAAGAAAAACAACCTGCCCATCTCCCACAAAGCGAGCGAGAGAGATAAGGTGCACGCGATGCACCAGCTCCCAAACCCGGTGTTCCAGCTCCCAAACCCAGTGTACCAGCTCCCAAACCATTCCCAGCAGCAGCTTGCCCATCGCCATGTGGGATTCTGTCCAGAGAGGACAGGGGAGATGGGCTTTGGTGCTGCTTTGCTGTCACCAGCCACCCTGACGGGTTTGTTTCCATGTGAACTCGGCAGCAATGTCAGCAGCCCCTCAGCCCCATAAGGGGCTCATCCAGCCCCTGATCCCTGCAGGATGCTCCCAAATGCCTCCATCTGCAAAGCAACACACTCTGAGGGAAAGGAGGGAGCACCAGGCTGGGCACAAATTCCTGGGAAAGCCTCCACCACCTGCAGGCCCGGAGCTGAGGGCACTTCCAGGATTGTTCCTGTAGCAAGGAGGTCGGAGGTTGTGGGGGGCTGCCTGTCCCCAGCCTGCCCTGAGCACAAGCAAACAGCAAACCCGGCCACATCTCAGTGCTCTCAGCACCAGAGAACATGTGCTCCCAGCACAGCACCTTCAGACTTTTCAGCCACAGCCCAAAAAACAAGCTGTGAGCATCTGGAACCTCAGCTCAGCCCACCGACAGTCTGCAGCAGAACCTACCTCCAGCAGACACTGGTCAACAGCTCCCACCGAGAAACGATCATGAAACACAGCCCCCAAGGTCTGAACATGGAGCAGCCTCTTTATTTATTTATTTGCTAAGCCAATAATATATATCCTTGCTGCAAACCCGAGCTTGTAAACCCTACCTCTCCTCTAGCCAGGCCTCTTGTAAACTGGGAATAACTTCATTTTGCTCATGGATTGCCCTGCAGCAAGACCAGTGCAAAGAGAGCTCAGAGTGCCCCAGGGCACCCCCCGGCTCCCACCACGGGCAGGGGCACCCAGGCCCTTGCCACAGGCACCAGAAGCAAATAAAGAGCCTCAGTCTGTCTAACAGGAAGCAGTTTGTTTTCCCAACCTTTGTTGCAATAAGGAAAGGTCTTGATATTCCTGCTACTGCACTGACTCATACGAGAAGCCCCAGGATTTCCAGTGGGTCACTCTTAGCCATCTGATTCTAAGTTTTCCTTTATTTTCTAAGCACTACCCCCAGTCCACAAATCACCCACACTCTCGCTTCCACAGAGGTGTTGCTGCTGCTGCTGCTGCTCACCCACGACGCCTGAAGAAAAGCCACTGCAGGAAACCCTGGAGTCAATCCCACCTCCACCACTCTCCCTCCTCGCTGCAGTCACCAGGAATTCAGGGCTGCCCAGGTCCTGCCCAGCTCTCGAAGCAGAACTTCCATCCCCAAGAGAGAAACCACCATATTTTTTTTTTTTTGCAGTGAGAGTACAAAAGCTGGGTGCCAAGGCAAGGCTGGCTGAGGTGGCACCTCACACGGGCTCTCCTGGTCCCTGTCTCACAGGCACATCCCTTGCTATCAACGGCAGCGTTACAACGTCCCAACAAAAGCTCAGCGTCGAGGTAGAAAACAAAGTAGTAATTAAAAATAAATAAATAAATAAATAAAGAGTCAACTGTGAATTTTGAAGCATTTTGATCAAAGGGAAGCCACAGGAAACCCCTGCAAAGCCCTCGAAGCCTCTTCCCCCCAGGCCAGAGCTCTCCCCTCCATCAGCACCCAGCCCCGAGGGACACCCCATGGGACACCCACCCATTCATTCCCACCAGCCCCACGGCTCCACCCAGCCAACTTAGCACCAACTTCACCGCAAAGTGTCAATACCTCCATTTTTTGGGGGCTGGGTGAATGGGTGGGGGGGTGGGTGTGTGTTGGGTTTTTTTTTTGCCCTCCCCTCCCTTAAATCCAGAGCAAACTTCCCTTTCTGCTCACCCTCCCCATGCCCCATCCGTCCGCTCCCGATTGGCAGGGAAATCCTATACCCACCCTCCCCGCCGAGAAATGTCTGCTCTTGCAG